TAGAGAAAAATCAATTTTGAAGTTATTAAGATCAAAAAGAAGATGGAGCCGATGCAGCTTTTAGTGATTGCGATCAAATATCATCGGCTGGGGAAAAGAAGACCATCGGATAAAAATAGTTCGAAGCATAAAAACTCATACTTCGAACTAGGGGGGCCTGTGTTTACACCAAAATTTGGTAAGCTTATCCTAGAAAGGAAGAGATCGGCCGATGATGTCAAAAGCAAGAAAGTTTTCTAATTAAGGGATATTTATGAGCCGGCCAAAAAATATTATTTAATAAATTTGAGAGAGACATGACGTCTAGGTGCATATCAAGATGAAAGAAACAAGGACACGTATCAAATAAGAAAGCTTCATCATCAAGAACTCTATAAAAAGAGAAAATTAGAGTCCAAGTTATCTTAAATTAGGAATGTTTTCTTCTATGCCAAAAATTGTAATGAGTCATACTCGAGTAGGATTCATGTCTGGGCTCCAGGATATAAATATTAGACCCCAGCTATTGTAAAACACACAATCAATCCAATACAAGTTATTTACTTTTTCGGCTCCGGCCACCCCTTAGGAGTAGGAGTAGAGTAGATCTCGGTGAGTTCTTCAGCAAGTACGACTGCATCGATCTGGTCGACCTCCATTGCTTGTTTGTAAGTACTGTAATGGCTTATACCTCTGTTCGTACGGCTGCATCGATCCGGTCGACCTCTACTGCGACTCTGGTATAAGTTAGTTATCGACTTTTGTCTAGTTCAAGTACGGCTGCATCGATCCGGTCGATCTTCACTGCTCGAACTAGATTAAGGTCAAGTTATCGACTCTATCTAAGGGTGGCGTTCCTTCGGATAGATTCATTAAGTTACCGATATTGTTTATTGCCTCCATTATTTATTTAATTACAGCAATATCACTTCGCCCGATTGGGATTGATCTAGATCGGCCTTATATCTTTGTTAACCTATCGTTTGATAATCTAAACTGACCTAATCAGCATTTTAAACGATGAGTTATATTTTATCGGCTGTTCTACATCAATCTTGATCGTGTATAGCATGCGGTTAAGGCATGTTTGATCTTGAGTAGATCTATTGGCTAGCGAGAACTGTTCCATGGCCTGTTATCGCGGCCTGTGTGATTCTGCCTCACACCCCACTGTTAGCACCGTAGAGTGGGGATCGTTATTTAGTAGATCTATTCCTGAGAGGGCATGACCTTAACTGTGCGCTATGCCTTAATCGGCTGTTTTAGCCGATATCGAGCGTTTTCACGAACAATTCGCATCATGAGATCGTTGAAGTAGGGATATGTTGAAAGATATGTTAGCCCCATGATCTTATTATTGTATTACGGCCTGTATGATTCTGTCTCATGCCCCACTGATATTAGTAATAAGTTAGGGTTGTCGAGTCTATTGTTGTTTATACGGCCTGCATGATTCTGCCGCATGCCCCACTGGTCATAGCGATAGATGAGATCTAATATGTTTATTAGATTTATCTCTATTAAATGGTTGAATGATGATGAACTGTTTCTTTTATAAAAAAGGGTTCGGTTACTTGCAGTCATTGGCTTAGCATGAACTAATTATTTTTGATATCTTATTGCCATTGACCAATATTTGTTTAAAGAATGACATCCATCCTGAACGATAACCGATTCTTCTTACACAACCCAATGAGCTTTAATCGATTTATTTTTATGAATATGCTGGAATCGACTATTTAGTCGATCTTCTTTCATATTGGCTCTCAGAGCCGCACATTCGGGACTGTTTGGCAACACCGGCACGTTCCGCCCTTAATTACTGATAAACTTTCTCTCCTTGTCAATTACAGGGTCAAATTAACTGGCACGTCTCAGGAGGAGTGCGTAGGATCGACTACCCTTGCGCTGAGGCTAGGCGGATCTCCAGCTCCATCGAGCGGACCCTTCCGACTTGCTATGTGTGTCCTCGGCACGAGACAAAATTCCATGTCGACAGGTTCCTACAAACTCTATAAAATTTCTATAAAATGACTAGTTTTATAAAAAGGGTATATTCATAAAATCACTAGAGTTTTAGCTTAGAATTTACATAAAAACTGCAACAATTAATAAGATCAAAATTTGGTAGCCAAATCTAGACTCGTGATGAGTCATGGCATCACAAATCAAAGAGCTGATATAATTTAAACTATAGTTTCAGCTAAATATATATTAAAGATGCATAGTGGTACGATATAAAGAAGAAAAACCGTGAATATGGATAAAAGCGTATAGATTAATTCATAAACTCCATCAGAATAAATAGAGACCGCAGCTACCTATATGTATAATCTTAGAAAAATATAGAGAAAGAGCGCAAATATATTCAAGTTTTATTAGTTACATAGTTCTAAATTTAACCACAAGTTTCTAATACTTAAGTCTTAAAACCATCCTAGAGATTCTCTCCTTTTATCTCTCGCGAAATAAGGTAGCAATTCACAATATACTCTGTGAGCAGTATAGTTTCAAAAAATCACAACTATTTTATATAAGAATTCTATCTCTTGATATGATCAGAGTTCAGCAACTTTTTTTTTATTTAAAAGCCATTCGAGAAAATAAGATAGTTTCTAAAAGTTTTTTACTGAAAAAGAGGGCTATTTACACCATGTTTGATGAGGAAAAAAAATACAAGCTCTACTGAGATAATTAGTCACCGTTCCAAGCTATAAATATTTTAGTATTTTTTAAACCGTGTACTCATATATTTTTGCTACATTTTTTAAAAAAATCACCCGTCATAAACATCTGTCACGTGGCACTGGCAGCACCGAAACCAGGACAACCGGCCGAGCCAGCCCAAGCCCAAGCCCAAGCCCAAGCCCAAAGTAGGGTTTTGGGCTTTTCGTCTTCTCTTTCGTCCTCTCCTTGTTCCACGCTATTCCGACCACCGCTGCCACCTACTCGTGTCCTTGCCGGCGAGGCCTCCTCCCACCCAATTTCCTTCACGAGAGCGGACCGGACCTCACCTGGGCCTGCTTGGAGTCCATTTGGGCCTAAAATAGAATATACTTTACTAGTCAGATTTTAAAGACTTTGCTAAAAAAGAAAGGTCAGATTTTGAAGCCCCAATTCTCGAGAAAAAGTCCCGAAGAGGCGATAGCCAGCCCTAGTAACTCTCAACTCTCAAGCCGACAATGTGCCGCCGCCAGATGGGCCTAAAGGCTAGTCCAGGTAGGCCTAGGACTACCCTAAAATCAGGCCCAAAATACTTTTAGTACTTAGTATTTTCAACACCTTTAGCCCATAAAAATTCTGGGCCAACAAAGAACAGAAAGAAGGCGACAAGCTCTTCTCCCCGGCTTGCCCACCCCAACGCGAGACCTGCCCCGAGCCCCCGACGCCGCGACGCAACACGCCGCCTCCGACTCCGAGCGCCGAGGCTGAGCCGCCGGAGAGGCATCCCGCCGGCCGCCGCCCCACGCCCCCGCGGCCCCGCCTGGGCCTGGTGCTGGTAGCCGAGCCGGGCTGCGCGCGTGGCCGAGCCGCCGAGGTGCCGACTGCCGAGCAGCCGACCAAGCTGCACGCCGCCGGCGCCGGCCGCCGGGTGCTCCAAGCTGCAGAGCAGCGTGCCAGCGCCCCTGGACCGGTGGGTGTGCTTCTGAAGTTCTGAGCTCTCCCAAATCTCATACCCTAGGACCCAGCTGCCTCCGCGCGAAGACGACGCGCAGCCGTAGAGCTGCCCTGGCCCGGCCGACTCCGATCTGCATCTCTCGGACTGCCCGACGCCCTGCGGGCTGCGGCCGCCCTGCGCTGTGCGGGGCTGCGTCCAGCGGAACCTCACCTCTCCCAGTGGGACGTGCCTCCAGGCTCCAGCGGAGCCCGACAGGCCGGCAACTGACCCCTTGCCAACTGCTCCTGGTGTGTGCCTACTTCCCTCTTAAGGTTAGAGACTTTGAATGTAGATAGCTTTCAAAATTATTGTTAATCTTACACGGCAGCATTGCATGATTCTTCACTGAAATATCACTGCAGACTGTTTCTGAATGATATGAAAATTTGCTGTGGAAATAATGGATTCTGACCTTCCCTAGTGAGTAGTGACTTTGACTAGCTAATGAAAGTTCTACCGAACAAATTCAACCCCTAGTTTTCCCAACAATAAAAAAACACTAATGTTCAATTGAATTGCATTCCTTCCTTCCTGAAGTCTGTTTTCGTAGAATTTCACAAATACTACCAGAAATAGAAACAACATTATAGTCAAATTTCAAGGAGTTTGGAAATGAAAAAAAAGATATTATAGTAGAATTTATATATTATAATTTATACAAGTTTGAAACTTATTTATTGATCGTTGAATATAAGGTATTATATCGAACCATTTGTAGGATTTATAGCTGTATTACATCGTATTGTATATTAGGATTTTTATCTAGGCATACCTATATCCTAGGTTAAAATCCTGGGTTTGCCACTGCTTGGATGCATGCTCTTTCCCCCCTTGGATTTCCTTTTATCCACAGTCGAATTCAAATCCCACTCTCTCAAGTGCGCTTTACTTTTTTCCATATTTGCTGACTTTAGTTTTTTCCCCACAAGTTTCGCTGGGTTGAGGAGAACCATGCCGGACGTGAAGCCTGCTGCTGCTGCTGCTGCCGTCACCAAGGCGGCGGCTGGTGACTCGCCTTCTCCTGCTGCTACTCCTGCTCCTGCGCTGGCAGTGGCCAACAGCAATGGGACGCCGCAGAAGCCGCCTCCTATTCCAGCCGCCGCCTTCGACATGCCCAAGCCAAACCTTCGGGGTCTTAACAAGCCCAAGTGCATCCAATGTGGTAACGTCGCCCGTTCCCGGTAAGGAGACAGTTTATCGATACTTCCTTATTAGGCAGAATTATTTCCTCGTACTTGTGGTATGGTGTGCAGAGGCAGTTTACAGGCAACTGAGAACCTTCACCTTTGGTTATGTGATAGAGACTGCATTGATTTCTGATTTGTTAATGAATTATATGCGCGCGCTCTGCTTGGCCTTTCAGGTGTCCGTTCCAGTGTTGCAAGAGCTGCTGCTACAAGGCCCAGAATCCTTGCCACATCCATGGTATATGCGACATACTCCTTTGACGTGATAATCTGCATGCTATAAGAAAATGATAATCTACACTTGAAGTTAGTGACCCACAAGGAATTTGATGAATGGTGATATTCTATCTGAATATCTGCACAATTACATATATGTTCTAGCCAGTTTACCAGGCATCCCTTCTATTTTTGGTTAGGCAAAATTGCCTCTATAGCCCTCTCCATGAATCATTTTGCTAACATACTACTCTCCAAACTCAGTGTCCTATCTTATCACTTCCTAGTCCCTACTCCGTTTTTTCCCATCCTAGTGCCGTGCGGCACGATTGGAAACCAGTGGCACAGGTTGGAATGCAGGACGCTCACAGTTACATTCTGTCTCCATGGCCACTCCCAATCCCCCATCGCTTTCTGCCTTTACTCTCCGTCTTCTACCCCTGCAACCACTGCAGATCTCACTGTCATCAGCGCAGGGCACTCTCTAGTGGACATCGCCACGGTGCTTGATGTCCATGAGCATCACACTTGACCAACTGCCAAACCACGGATCCCTTACTGCCACTGGCCCCATAAGGTGAAGCAATGCCACCTGCATGAGGTCATCTCCTGGGGACTACACCAGGAGTGAAGCTGTGCTCCATGCACATCCTCTCTCTTCTCAGTTGCCATTAGTAAAGCCAGATCTGGAGGACCCTCCTTCCTCTTGTCCAGCAGTTCTAACAACAGGGGGGAGTGGAGGGTCTCGGTTGTGGGCAATGTGCAGAGAGAGAGAGAGAGAAGGGGGGGAAGCAGATTTGATGGAGTGCTATGGCAAACAATCAGGAAGGGAATGAGTGCTAAAATATAAAACTGATAACTAGATGATTTGGGGATCAGTATTAGCAAAACAGATTGTGGAGAATGCTATCAAGGCAACTTCGCCTTTTCTTTACCCTCATTCAGCAGTTGTTCCAGAACTTTTTATATTTAGGGGTACATTTAGTTTCGTAGCCGAAATGAGCTTGCTTAGAGGTACAAGCTAGCAGATTTAACCAATCCATCCTAACAATGATTTACTATTTGTTTATGTTTCAAATATTTATGCCAAGTTCTTAGACAAATGAATTGGTTATTAGCAGTCAGAAATTACCATACAGAATTAATGCCTGGAACAATGTTTGGAACATAATCACAAAGTTTCTGGGTCAACAGGGTCGAGGAACGTGGTTCACTACTTGCGGTTTGCGAGAGGTTTATACACGGCAGGGTTGAAAATAACCCCGAGTACCCAGGTCGGGGACGCTGTTCCCAGGTCTTGGGTCGATGCCTTCAACCCTGTTTACTGTGACCATGGTTTGGAATAAATCTTCACAAACTGCAAGCACCACTCATCCAACAGAAATGAAATGTGTAAAAAAACTAAACAAGTAATGGAAGGCAATAGAGGAATTTTTGCATGGTGATGACTTGCATCCTTTATGAGGATGTTGTGACCATATCTTGCTTCAAGGGCATGTCAAGTATGTGGGGGACGAAGTGTTAGATGGGGTATTGATTAAACCTTGCATTGACCATCAATGGAGCTATTCTCTTCATGTTTTATGAAGAAATGGGGGAAGAGGCTAGTGAAGGAAAAAGTGAAGGTTTGGGAAGTTTTTGTAGCCAAGCAGCGTTAGTGGTTATGTTAGAACCATTTCTTATGAACATTGATGTTTTATTTATGATATTTCTATCGCAATCTGCATGTCAATTCCATTTTTCTTATTTTAAACTTTCTTTTACATTGTTTATTATCATGTCTGCTGCTCTGCGCTATGCCATAATGTTGTTTATTTTTTACTCTACACTGAACACCACTGATGCTGCCTCGCTTTACTTATCATGATAGTTCTGAAGCAGACCAACACATTGCCGGATAAGCCATCTCCTGCTACTGCTCCTGCAACAGAACAGCCATCTACCAATTTACCCGCAACCAGGTAAAATTCATAAAACATAAGTTGACAATTAATCTCTTGCAAACCACTGCATTGTTTTAATGCTTGATTGTTGTTTTTTCACAGTTCAGCATCAAGGCTGGCTGCCTTGCAAAAGCTTCCCCAGCATTTTCTGAAGTCTCTCCAAACAAAGAAGTCGCTTACCAAAAAGGTTATTGGCTCTTTCGCGCGCTCTGTTTGTTTTGAGCCGCTTTTTGTTTCTTTTGTGACTTTTGTTTTGTTCTAGGATGTTGTGGGTATAAACAAGTGGAGGTTTATGAAGCTAAAGGAACATATGCAAGGAGATATCGATGCTGAAAATGAAGCATATGAGAGGTATACACAGAATGTTGGGTTACTGGAGGAAACATTCTGTCCCATGGAAGATGCTGATGTTGAGCAAGAAGCTGAAGCAACTTCTTCAGAAGAAGAAAGGATGGACTTGCTGGTTTCTGAGGCAAAGGTGAGGTTGAAGTCAGATAACGAAACTGCTGATAGCTTCAAGGAGAGGGTTGCGACTATCTTGGACCAGAAGCTGAAGAAACTGCTTGAGAGTCAAAGCGCCAATGAGGATGACAAACCATCTGATCCAAATCAGGATGATCATCCAAGCCCAATGAAATTTAGCACAGAGCAGAAGATGGAGAGAACCACAAAACTGAACGAGCTGCTTGGTAAGCTGACAAGAGCACGGAGCGAGGACGATCTGAAGCCTTACCGTGATCTTATTGAGCAGCTGTTTGGAAAGGAGAATGGTTCCCCTATGGACAAGCCAGACAGAATGGAGACGGAGCCGGGCGATCAAGAGCCAACTGCAGCAGTAGCACGGCCTTATTCCATCCCAAACTTGTGCACTAGGATGGAGGTTGATGAGGACTTCGCCTCAAAGATCAATGATGAATTCTCCTCGTTGAGTCAGGTGGTGCAGCTATGAATCTGAAACCTAGCCTGATCCCAGTGTGACTACCTCACTGAGCTCCTTTGATGTGTACTAACTCAACAGTGTTATTTCATCGATGTGCTGACCTGTCATTTATTGTAAGGAAGTGTTTGGCCGTTCGCAGTCAAGCCAAAGCAATGGCGGCAACTAGGGTGATGCTGCGTTTTCTCGTATCCTGTTTTCTTGATTTGTATTTATTCTGGTACATGGCGCATGAATGGATCGGAATGTTATATCGACAATTCTTGTGCAGCTCTCTTCAGTAAAGTACATGAAGCGTTCATCATTATGTCAGTCTCGGTTCATTGCAAGCGTTCATCATTATGCCCGTCTTACCCAACGCACGCATGACTTTGTCTCAGCATCCTGAACAACGCTAAGGCATCCTGAACAACGCGAAAGCAACTAATAAGGCTAATAGCAGTTTTCACAGTAATGCGTGCGCATTTTCATTTAGGACAATGCATTATCATTGTATTTCAGATTGTACATCACTCTCCTCGCTGTTGGGCGTCAATAAACAGTATCCATGCTTATACAGATATACATATGGCTTTCGCATTCGTGGATGGGCCTCACCCTACAATGACCATTCCAGCTCTCGTTTTCTTAGGGTTCCATTTGTGTTGAGAGTAGCAGGCGTGTATTCAGAGTCCATTTGATCTCATGGAAAACTAAAGAACAAGGACATTGCATAATGAATTATTTGCCGCTGCAAAACATACTTAGTCACAATGATTGTGTTGTCATTAATCGCCAAAATCGAATTAAGGGCCTAGATGCTTTCAATCTTCCCATTTTTGGTGATCGATGACAACACACCATCAAGTATATGCAAATAAGGAAGAAAGAAGGTTTCAACACTTTGCATGAACATGTGACAATAAGAACAGAGGGTTAGATCGAATTCATGCAGCCAAGTCCACAACATACACATAATAGATAAGAATTAAGCGCATGTACCACAAAAGTAATTCGTTTGACAAAATATATAACATAAGCGCAAACACGAGCAACACAAGTGACATGACATAATAATGAAAGTAGAGATCACACATGTTACAGAAGCATCGCAAGCACATATAGTATCAAGCAATGCATGAAAGTAAATATGAATACATATGGAGTAGCACGCAAAAGATCCAAAATCCCAACTCACAGATCTCCCCTATCTCACATACTCCCCACTCTCCCTCTTTGGTGTCGAGCACCAAAAACTAAAAACTAAGGGTCAGCTGGAGGAGTGGTCGTCGCAGTCGAATCAGGCTGTGAAGTGCACGACGAGACCTCAAAATGAGCTATAAGTGCGTCCATGTCTGACTTAGAGGAGCTCTCGAATCTTCTTGTCTGTCCGGCTTGTTAGAGTATATCGACATGGTCTTAGTGCCCAAAATAGATAGGCTATTGTTAGCCATTAGTTTACTCCTCTCCCTTGCTTCTAGGCATGGTGACTGGGCGCCATCGGCCAACAGTGCTCCGGCACACCCATATGTGCCTACACACTGGTTAATGGACTCAAGCATTCTCCAATCTTCCTCTTTCATGGCATTAGTCGCATAGGTTCCGATCCTCACAGCAGCCACCGCCAGCTTCCGCAACAGCGCACCCCCGGGGCAGCGCCCCGTTTAGGCGCCGATCCGGCTGCCGTCGTCGTCAAGCAGCAACAGTTCGTGATGGATCTCACCTGGGCGTCGCCGTCCGTTGGTTGGCCATCCTAGCGTGGACCCTCGGCGGCGGATCGGCCTCGCCGCACCGTCCCTGCTGCTCTCCGTGGAGGACGATGCCACCACCGGTTCGCCTCCACCTCGCAGCAGTAGCCGGCTGCGCAGCCGCAACCCGCCGTGTCCGTGCCTAGCTCGAGGCGCATCGGGAGCCACAACTTCGCCGGACGCCGCGCTGAGCAACCTTTCCGCCTCGTCCCGAGCCTCCTCGCCGACGGTGCTGCTCGTGACCGAAGCCGCGTTTAGGAGTTGCTCCGCGCAGCCGCCGTCGCCGGATCCGCGTCCGCCCGGCCTCGCCGTGCCGGCGCACGCCTCGTTCCCTTCGCGTCGCTCGTCACCAGCACGTCCGCGCCGCAACCGCTGACGGCGCACGGAGTCGTTGCGTCTCCGCCGACGCCGTGCCCATCCCTGCCGCGATGTCCTGCTGGAGGCCCACGTCGAGCCGTCACCACGGCGCCCTGCTTCGTCATATCCCGCGCGTCAGCAGGCCGCCTCACCGCGCGCCTTCCGCGCGGTCTCCTAGGCGCCTCCGCCTCCTGCGCCAGTCCCACGCGCGCCCCTGCCTTCTCAACCGCTCGTCTCCCGCGTCCTTGCCTCCCCGCTAGTGCCTCTCGCCCTTTTGCTTTCTGTCCCTCTCCCTCTCCCTGGTTTGACCAAGAGATGGGAAGAGGTAAGAGGATGAGAAGGGGTCTTTTGCTACGCGCACCCATGGATCCTACACAAGATATTACCGCAGTATCTTTTCTATTTTTTTTCGATCAACGCTCAGGATTGAGTTGCCCACCGCCTGTCGACCTCACGCGTACTACTCCAGCTTCGGCATCGACTTCACTGGCATCTACATCTTCGACTGTGCGGCTTGGCCGGGCACGCGATCCGAGGGAACGCCTTCTGCGTCGCTTCTTGGTCATTCACTGCTGACGTCTACACATCGCTTCGGTCATCATCGCCACCACAGGCATCGGGACGCCTCCGCCGACTTCTTCCATCGTCGTTGCACCTCGCACGTATTTCGGTTCATACAACCGATTACACGTGATCCACCCGGCCCTGTGGCGCCCACCGCCGAAGTTCTATGTGCATCTTCTTCGAGCAATGAAATTGCCGGCTTTGTCGCTATGTCGCCTCATCGAGCCACAACACCGTCACTTGTGTCCACTTTGCCGTTCGATCTACATCGCCGTCACGTGCATCGACGATTGTGTTTGCGCAATCTTTGTTGCGCCATCCGTCTGCACAAAGTCTTCATCTTCTCGATCGGTCTTTGTCATTGAGCCGCAGCCTACCCACGTCATCATTGAGCCCCTCGCCGGCCGCCGCTCGGCGTCGTCATTTGAGCCACGATCGCCGATCGCGTCGCTCCCGTGACCGCTTCTTCTTCGTCCAGCACAACCATGTCGTCAGCGTCGCCATCTCGTTCCCACCTACTTCATCTACTCCGACAACCATGTGTTGCGCCTTCTACCCCGCTACTCTACGCGCCGCAACCGTCATTGAGACCTTCTCTGCTGGTCCCTCTGACCTTGTACATTCGGTATTGGCAATACCGTTGCGTGCGTTCGTCCCCGATGCGTTCTTTGGGTCTAGCAAACCCAAGCCCGCACTCGACTTAGGTGGCTTGATCGCATCGACTTTGGCATCGACCCTCCCGTTCCCACCCCGTCTGCCTAGACTGTGTCGTCGCCTTTCTTCTACATCCACGACGGCCTTGAGTGCGTCGACTTTGGCATCACTCCCTTCCACGACGACTGCCTCAATGCGTCTCCATCATCACCATGGCGCCTCTTGTGCGCCTGCAGTTGCATCGACATGGCAACCCGACCACAACTACGTCGACCTCAGACAACTTCCGCAGACGGTTTCTTCGCACACGGCAACTGCGCCCTTCAGTTCGACTACCTCGACATTGGCACAAAGGGCTATCATCTGCATGAGTCGTCAACAGTTTTCTCTCCAGTCACAACGTCTGCACTGCGCCAAGTTGTGATTGTGGGGGGATATCAGTTGACTTCTTCTCCAGTCTCACTGTCTGTGGCTCTCACGCTGTGACTCCAAGGGGATGTTAAAGTTTATCGACATGGTCTTAGTGCCCAAAATAGATAGGCCAGTGTTAGCCATTAGTTTACTCTCTCTCCCTTGCTTCTAGGCATGGTGATGGGCACCATCGGCCAACAAAGGTTCTAAGACACCCATATGTACCTCTTGTAACACCACGAATTTTGACCCTAATTTAAAAATCACTAAAATTTGGACTTTTAAAATTTAACATAAAATCAAAAATCACAGACTCAAAAAAAGAATTATTTACCTCCACAAAGAATTAATCCAGAAAATGATTTAGCATAAACAATAAAACTTATAATAAACTACTTGGGTGAAAGTGCTTGAAATGATTGTTGCTTGCTTGTGAACATATGGTGGTACATCCTATTTGAAAACATTTCAAAACTTGAATTCAAAATAATTTCAAATCATGAAATAAAACAGAAAAGGAATTAGGAAAAAGGAAAAACCACTCGGGCTCATTTCTTTTCTCCCTCTCTCTTCGCCCACGGGCGCAGCCCGCTCCACCCTTCTCTCCTCCCACACTAGGCGGCAGCGGCGCGCAGCCCATTTCAAAACCATTTACGCCAAGGCTGCTCTTCCCTCCTCCTCTCCCTTCCATCGACACACGGGGCCACAGGCGTCAAGAAGTCGTTATCTACCTTGAGGGCAATGACCTTGAATATCGCGTCGTCGCCGCCGCCTCCAAGCGCCGCGCGCCTGCTCCACTCGACGGAGTGGATAAGAACGCGGGCGAACTCTGGAAGCTTCCTGGCCTCTCTACTACCTCTCTCCCCCTCTCTACTCCTCTCTGTCTCTCTGCCACCATGGCCACGCGTCACGCCAAACTCCCCCGACCGTTGCCGCCATGGCCGAGCTTCGAGCTCTCGGACAAGCGCAAGGATAAGGACGCACTATGGCGAACCAACCTTCGGATTTGAATACGAGCGCGGGCAAGAAATATCTCCAATGGTCGGGAGATATTTCCCGCCGCCAGCACCGCCATGGCCGGCCTATAAATAGGCCCGGCCGGCGACACTCCGATCTCACCACCACAGCTACGAGCTTCGCAAATAGCTAGAACACACCATCTCCCCCTCCATTTCTCCTCTCCTCGTCTCGGTAGTACGCTAGGACAATCTTCCCCAAATCGGGCGTTGCCGTCGTCATTGGAGCCGCCCTCCCCTTCCTCCTTCTCTGTTGGGTCCCGGGTCGATTGGAGTGACAGGT